GAGGCCTGCGCTACTCCAGCCCATCGTGACTCTGAGAGCATGTCTGAGAGCGACACTTTCTTCATGTGAGAGGCCTGCGCCAATGCTTCTGAAAGTCAAGGCAGCTGCCCACAGTTGCAGGTAACCCCTGACCCAGCAAGAGAATGGTAAGTAAACCTGGTAAACCTTGAGAGCAGGTTCTGGAGGTAGCCGTAGCAATCATGGGTCATACTACACATCATCACAATGTTGAGACATGCCTCCTGTGAAGACTCTTCTGGGTATGCCATGCACAAGCCCTGCCCGAGAGCTTTAGGGAAGCTCGAGATGCGATCAAGGGCCAAGGCTCCCGTTCCGCCGATTCTTCAAGGATCCTGTGAGAGCTTTGGCGGGAGTCGCTCGGCTTCCGGTGCTCTGCCGAAGGCAAGTTGCTGCAGGATATGCTGCTCAGGGTAAGAACTGCAAGCTTCCGCGATCCTAGAGATATCGAGCTTCATGCCTTGCATTCGTCTGTGCGCGCCTCGCACCACGGAGTTCCTCTCACTCGTCGGGAGACCGTCTGCCGTCGCACGTCGTCGGCCTGAGACCGAAAACTAAGCCTCTTTCATCCTTCAGGGACACGAAGCCCTGGAAGCAAAGCCGCTGCCGCCCTTTTTGCAACTTCCGAGCTGTCCTCCAAGCGATCGATAGCACTCGAATGTAGGGGTGTCTTTTGCTTTGATACTGACAGCATGTTGTTGCATCTGGCAGCATGTTTGGCTACTTTTTGTTCCACGCAGCCACACCTCGCTCTCGTCAGTGACGGTGTGCATCTTTAATTGCAGGGCACGGCCCCTCCGAAAGGCCCTACAGCAATCCAGGACACAGTCCGTTGCATTCTTCCGACAGGGCTGGAGGGAAGCCGGCAGCGTGCCAAAAGAGTCACTGCCGCATCAATGCCCTGTCCTTCAAGACCCACCAGAACCCTGCGTGCCACCAAAACGGAAGAAGCCCCTCACCGAGAAATGCCTGCGAGTTCTCTCTGACGCTTGCTGGTCTGCACATGTCGTGCTGGTGTTGAGGAGTGTGGTACTTCGTGACAACAGCACCGCCGCTTCCACAGGCCTTATCGAAGCGTCTTCCTGCTTTGGGGGTACTGGTATCAAGTATGGCTGTGATGAGCTCTGAACCTTGTTGCCACTTCAACCCTGTCCGGAGATCTACCGGAGTTCTATCACTCTTGAGCCAAGTGCTTGGAGGCGCAGTGCTCTGAAATAGTGACCTTTATGGATGTCATTCGTGGCAAGCTGGCGGGGGACCAAGTCGTATCGAGGCAGCTATCTGGTTGCAGTGTGAGGAGAAGTGTAAGCCGGCTAGCTTCACCACAGCTAACTAAGCCTTAAAGCAAGAAGCGATCGGCTTCCAAACGGACTCTCCGCCGATGCATTGAGCTTGGAGGGAGCGTGGGCTCCTGTGAGTCTTTCGGGTGGGGGGTTCTTGTCCCCATGGCTCATGAACTCCTGTTGAGATAGTCCGAACCTTAATTTTATCTGTGAGGCCTCGGGCTCAGAGCACATATGCGCTCTTGTCCACGGCTTGCATGTCACAGTTGAGAACATGACCGATAGTGCCATCAAATCGAGCTAGCTACAACTAGTTGACATAGGCAGAAAACTAAGCCGTCAGTCGAGCACGCGTGTAATTGTGAGCAATTTGGCATATTTGGCGACATAATTCTGAAGTGGTCACATGCAAGCTGTTGAGGCCTGCGTGCCGTTCAGGGCTTATGCCTTAGTTCTCACTTCTTACCAGGCATGGTATGAGGGCTCTTTCGTCCCCCGTGCGAGGGCTCCACTCTTTGAACCCAAGCCCTGAACCACGGAATCCGACCCGGAGCCGGGCGCTGACGCCATGACCTCGGACACTCCACGCCGAGACCTCCGGCAGGAGCGGAAGCGGGGGAAGCGGGGTGCTTCGAACCAAGCTGGGCTGTTGTAGTCACGTTGGGTCTTTCTGGCTTTGTTGAAGGATTGCGATGTAGAGTCTGATTGCTGCTTCCAGAGTTGCACTGTGGTGCCAATGTGTCATGCGTGCTGTCTCCTATTTATGGTGTGGGCCGGATAGGAGTTCAGTGTCCATCTGATGAATGGTTCGATACTGGGTTTGGCCGTGAGGTAGGACATTAGCCAGGCCAGTGCCTCGTGGAGCCCCACAGGTGGAGGCAGAACGCGTATCCAAGCTCGAGCAGCGAGCAGTCTACATGGCAGAGAAGCAGGCGCAGCCATATTTCTAGCTTTAGGACGATCGTGTGGTGAGGGTGAGGGTTAGGAGTTAGGACTATCGTGGTGACGAATGTAGTGCTGACGATTGTCGCGGCTGTGGCAATGCGTTCACTCCGTCATAACATGCGCTTCTCTGATCGTTCTGCTTGTGGATTGCTGATGTCCGCTTTCCTTATTGTTGAGACTGCCGTCTGTTTTGTTGGACTAACCTTCCTTTCATCTTCAGGATCTTCCGGACTGGACATCTCACCTTGGGGTCTGCTGTCCTTTGACAAACTCATGTTCGCATCTGAGGAAAGCTAGGCATCGGAGGCGTTTATGTTGCGCAGGTCGGCTGGTCGGGTGTTCGGTTTAGAGCTTCGAGGCTGAACTCTATCGGATCATGGGTGGGGATGTCTCTAGGCCTTGTCCTGGAGTTCTGCTCATGTCTGTTCGTGTCACATCCCGTCGGTACAGCAGGCCGAACTTCAGATCATGCAGGAGCTGAGGCACTGCGCTCAGCCATCGTTTGGTTGTGTGAGCTGCCATTGGCAAGTCACAGACTATAGCCTACCTGGACTCCCGCGCACGTAGCATATGCTCTGGCAGGTGTCGGAAGCAGGATGACAAGACCCAGGCGAATGTACTCGCAGCAGCGCAGAAGACTTTGCAGAATCGAGAGCTGCCACACTGGGACACACCGACACTCTGCAAGCTCATTGGAGAGACAAGCCCCGAAGCCCTGCGAAAGAAGGAGAGGGGGAGATAGAGAGAGAGACAAGCACCGGCCGTGCGGACGACAACACAGCGGAAGTGCTGCTCCAGAGTTCCTAAGGGCAAGGCTTCTCCCAAAGGCGCTTACCATGACGCCTAGCGCTCCTAGCAATTCTGGCGAGGCACTCAAACGGCAATGTGAAGCTCAACTGCAGTCAGTGCAGCAAGCACGGCGCGAGGCGAGGGTCTGCAGAGTCTGCTAGCGATGCGTGTATCACAGTGCATCAAACTGGGTTTTGGGTGCACGTCGCGTTCAGAGGTAGCCCGACACCCGCCCACATTTCCCGAACTGTCAGGCCGCAGCCAAACGCAATGCTCGGCGACAAGAGGCCGAAGCTGAGCTTTGTGCGGCATTGTGCCATGTTGGACCATTTCCCTCAAGAAAGCCATGATGGCTTTCTTCAGGGCATTTTCGGGCTCGTGTCGCACCGATAAACTCCAGCACAGATTGCAGCCGGAGAGCTTGGTCGTAGATGTGCACATCGACACGTTCCATGGCACCTTTGCCAGACAACCGAAGACTCGTTAAACTCAGATTAATGAGTAAGGCCCGTGAAACCCTAAGCAGAAATGTACCAACCTCCATCAACACTGCGCCCAGAGACTGCACAGATCTTTACAGCATTTAACGATACACAGACGCTGAATTGAAGACCCTAAAGACCTACCTGTGGCCTGCACCCAGCGACTGGAAGCCTCGACCGGGATCCACACGAAGGTGAGCAGCCGGGCCAAGGAGCTCCAGGACAGCGAAGCCGTGGCTCGGGAGGCGAAGGCAGCGTCGCTTAGCCCGAATCATCCCGAATCCCTAAACCCTGAAGCCCTGAACATCCCTGAGCCCTGTCCACTGTGCAGGTGAACGGCCTGGATGCCCGCCGGGCGCAAGCCATCTCCCGGCTTCGTGCAGAGCAGGTGCAACACCTGGAGGCTTCCGGCGTGTTCATGCTTTTCAGTCGTCCTGGAAGTTGCGGGGTCCGAGTTCAGGGTGGTGCGTTGAGGGGCTGTGGCACACGGGCGTTCCTGTGATTTTGCGCTTGGCACTTGGGCTTGCTTTGGGGGAATGGTTCAGCGGCCTTGGACTGTTGTTTGCGCACGGGTAGCTTCAGTTGTCTTTGTCCCATGTTACAACGCGTGTAGGTCTGGCTTTCTGAGGTCAGGCTATTTCGACGGATTGAGTATTTCTTCTTTCGCATGCTCCGCTGCTGCCTTGATATGTATTTGCTGCGAGTGTCTGCATCGGAGATGGGAACCGTCAGGAGCCAGTTGTGAGCACAATGGTAGGTCGTGTTGCCATGTTGGGTTACCTGTAGGACGCTATGAAGCTCCGCGTAGTAGTATAGACTGTTTCTGTTTGGCATGGAGGCACAGAAAAGCGACAAGTCCTCGAAGTCCAAGGAGCTGGCTGAGAGGTGCTGTGGCTGTCGTTGTCACTGGCCCAACGATCGCCTGCTGTGACGAAGAACCAACTTTCGATCGTTCCACAACTGCTATCACCACCACCAACTGCTGCTGCTGCTGAACTTCCGGGCCTGAAGATTTTTTGGGAACGACCTAGCATTAAACCCAGCGATCCGACTCACTACACGTCCGGCCCTGGAGGAGTCTTTGCACCCAAGCCCCAAACCAGAAGCCCACATCCGGCAATGCTCAGCGGAGGCTCAAGTACGTCGAGGAGCAGCGAGAGTCAGCGATTCAGCAGAAGCTGCTTGCTTATGAGGCCGCGGCCACGCAAAATGGGTTTCTTTCACGAACCTGAAAGTCTCAATATCTCCACAGCTTCACATTGCGCGCGAAGACCGGGCGAAGCCCTACAAACACCGCAGCTCCTTGGCTCAAATTCTGGTGCCTGCAGGCGGCAGGATGTGCCAAAGATCGAAACAGTGGAGGTTTTGGCATAGGAGAGCCAAGGAACACACCGGCATGTACACACACATACACTTCAATTCCGAGTGCCCCTGATGGGAACGGGTAGGCGGTAAGTCCAGAGTTTCGGGTAGTTTTCGATCCATGGCTGTGAGTTGGGTACCGCCGTCAGTGGCAGATGGGCAGAAGCATCCGGGAATCTTTCTCAGGGGCTGGCCAAATCGGCCCTCCGGACATGTGTCAGAGGTTTCACAGATCTTTCGACGTCGTAAGCCGTGTCAAGCCCCTCTGCCAGTCGGGGCCATGATTGGCTGCATCACTGTGGTCGCACGGCTGGTTCTCTGAGAGGTATCAGTAGAATCTATTCCCGTTTGTTATTCTGTAGTATTGAGGCTTCTGCTTTAGCGCTCGGATTGGCTTCACTCTTGCTGCTGATAATCAATGCCCAGGTGCACTCGCCCGCATCTGGCAGGTGGGTAGCATGCCGTGCCTGTGGTTCATCGCAGTCTGCCGGAGAGGTGACGCGTCTCTTTGTGGACGCAGATACCCACAAGATAGACGACATTGACAGTGCGATCAGCAAGCTGGAGAAAATGGGCAGGACTGTGCGCACACTTGTTTTCGCGCCACCGGGCCGGGAAACGAAAAAAGATTGGCAGCGCTTCCTGAGAAGGCCGGGGATCGATTTCCGCCCAGTCCAACGCGCAGCAAGCCGAACCGGCGAAGCTAATGACGCTGCCATCACCCAGGCGCTTCGGAGTTGTGCCGACCGAAGCATTGCACTCTTGACCTCTGATTTTGACTTTCACAGCGTCTGTGAGGCGGTGGCTGAGCGTGGCAAGCAAGTCCTAGTGCTGACCCCATCCAATAACCGCAAGATTATAAGGCGGTATCAGGACGCCGGAATTCCTGTGCAAGGGATTTTGCCCCGTGCCGGGTCCCTCAGAGCTCCAAAGGTACGAGCTATCCTGCACCAGGATGGCAGTGGAAGCGTAAAGCTGGATGACCCGTTCTATCCTTCCGATAACTCAGAGTTGCTCCAGGACACTGAAAGCTTCCTACGTGACTTGGGCTACGTTGCTCGAGACGGAGAGTACCTCGTCCATTCTACTGCGAAGTTTTGGCTTGCCAACGACCTGGGACCACTGACAGTGTTCCCTTCTCAAGTTACTTTCGAAGAGTTCGGGCAACGTGTACTAGGCCAAGGCAAGAAGTGGCGGAAGCAGAGCGTGAATGACAAGGCTTTCCTGCTTCCCAAAACTTCAGCAAACAGAATCAAATTGCAAGCTGCAAAGTTCGGCACCGAGCTTGCTAGGCGACTCTATTTTGGTGGAGGTCCTTTCATGTTGAAAGACTCGGAAGGTATGGTTCGCCAAGCTCTAACACAATTGGGATACCTGGACGAGGAGATGAATGCAGATGTGCTCGAAGCCATGCTGGTCTTCGTCAACATTGCGGACAATCGGAACTCACTGCGCAAGAAGGCCGGCGTGCTGCCCAACCCCGGCGACTCCCCTGCAGAAGTGGAGGAGAAGCTTCGACATGCGTTTCTGTCGCATCTCACAGACGGGCAATGGCGGGTGGCATCCAACGATCTTGACGTGCGGTGGCTTCTCCGCGACGAAGGCTTATTGGCTTCTGTTGACGCGACACGCCAGGACGTGTTTCAGGCGATGGCCGAGTTTGCAAAGCAGCGTAGCCTTCCCGAGATGAAGACCTATGGTGGCTATGTTTTTCGCATTCGCTCTGCCGCGAGGCCAAACTCAAACAAGGTAGCAACTATCGAGTTTGCTGCTTAGCCTGAAACGAAAAGACATGTCTGTTGCACTCTGAGCAAGCAAGTTGCCGTCTGAGGGAATTCGTGTTACTTCGTTGAGACACCGCTTAATAATGCACACAACCCCCAACTCCGACTCCGAGGCCTGCAACCGAAACGAGGTCCCTGACGGGACTAGCACTGCGACCTTGAGAACCTGAACCAAAGCCACCCAACAACTCCTTCGCACGGCTCTCAGAGGCCCGTCAGGTTCGGCTGGAAAGCGAGCGGAGGGTGAAGGCAGCTGCTGGGGGTCTTACTTGCGGTGTGTGTTCAGGGAACCCCTGGTTTCAGGAGCTTCGTGAGGGTTTGCTTGGAGAGATATTGGGATGAGAGACAGGGGAGCTGCCGTACGAAGCCGTGATGACTCGTACACCACTTGTTGTAGCATAGTGTGTTGCGAATTTTGCGTGCACAGTGCACGGATGGAAAGTGTTCGTTCTTTTCGTATTAGGTTTTTGAAGCCGAAACCCGAACGAAGCCTTGTGCCTTAAACCAGGTCGAATGGGTTGGCGGAGCGATCTGCAAATCTTTCCATGTTCTTATGCACCCATGTTGTGGATGGTGCTTCCCATATCTGCGCAGTCTAGTCTGCATGGCACCTCCTTGACCCCCAAGCCAAAAGTTCAGAAAAAGCACCTCCGGGATGCACATTGTCAAAATATTATTAAAGTAAAGCAAGTCATCACGAGGCAGGGCTTAGGGTTTAGGGGATGTAGAACGAGGTCTCTGTTGTATTTCGATCCCAATAGAGTTCAGATCAGACGCAGATCTTGTAGCAACATTCCAAAATAACTTATTCGCGGACTAGCAAGTTGGATGGAGTAGCAGCTATGGCGACCATGGTTTAGAGTAGTGCTCACATCGAGCGAATAGCTGGGTGGCCTGGAAGCTACAACAGAGCAAGAAACGTTGGCCGAAGCAGACTTGCTTTTGTAGTAAACCGTACCGCAAAAAGACAGCCGGTGCACTTCAAGTGAGATTGAGATGGAAAATATGGATTTGCCCGACAGTCAGAAGCTCCGCAGGCAGAAGCCCAAGACAAGGTGAAGCAGATCCGCGCAAAGTGCGACATGTGGAAGACCGCCTCTCCTGTTTGCAATTTCCCGTCCGGAGTTTGGGGTTGTCTTTGTAGATGTTTGGAGTGCAACGCATTCTTGTTCGAAGTGACAACGAGAGCGGCTCCCAATCTTTCTTTGATCGGATAGGATCTGACCATGTCGAACTCTGATCACCTGAAGCATCTTGATAAACCTGTAGCTATCCGGGTGAAAGCTTCGATTACATCGAGACTGTCGTCCGGTCCCTCTCTCTCTCTCCCCCTCCTCTCGCTGGCTCGCTCGCTGGACGCTCATATCTGCTATGGCAGCGATTCAGCGAGAGTACTCCTGGTTCCTAATCCTTTGTGATGGAATCTGGTTTTTGTTGCGAGAATCCGGTGCGAGACTCGATGGCGCCAGATGACCCCAGCGGAGGACTTCCAGCACGTGGACTTGGCTGGACATCCACGGTCACACTTTCGAAAACTTCGGCAAGGGTGCCGACCGTACATGGGTAGTTCTCTTAATTAGGGTCCCTATTCTGGGGACTTAGAAAGGGACCCTTCTTTAGAGAATTACGTACGTGTACGAGTCGATTCGATGCATGCCACGTTCCGACAAGTCAGGCTCGAACCAGGATGACGACAAAGATGGTTGAACAACACACAGAGAGCTTTGCGGCGCTTGACACCTTTTGGGACCGTTCCCCTAGACAGAGGTTTATCCAAGGTGAAGCCAGCGATGCGAGCATTGCCCCCTAGCTTCGAGAGGTGAATCTGAAGCTGACATCGGAACAAGCCATCGATCCGGTATACTCAGGGTTATCTCCGTAAAACAGCCCGGCCTGTCTCGATGTGCGGAACCTCTTCGAATCCCAGCAGGTAACTCCGCGTCGTCCGAGACAATGTAAACTATGCACGACAAACTTGCTGAGACCAACGTACGGGGGACGACAGTGATATTTCGAAGTGCCAGCAAGTCGGAGCACGTTTGTCAAATCAAACCGAACCAACGTAATCTCGCGTGCACAGTGTGGTGGTGCACAACCCACTTTGTCGCAAGGGGCAGTCTTGACGTGTTTGTCGATGATTTCACAACATACACGCAAAGCAATGCCATGTCCAAGGACACGAAAGGGCTGTTCCTGCCTGCTGCACGTCGTGTTGCACCTGCGCCTCCAGTCTTCACCTCGTCGGATTTCGATTTTGCCGCAATGTTTCCGAGTGACAGCGGCAGTGTTCGGCGGGTAGGATCTGATCATCTGATGAGGTGTATAAGTATATAGACTGGGTCGAACTTGGAAACACAGATGGTGCGTGAATGCTTTGATGTCTCTGGAAGTGCTTGAGAGTATCGGAGGCCGTGATGAGCCTACGACATTTCACCTTCTTGCAACTTTGAAGCAGTGTTGCAGGACCTACACCAAAGAGAAGATGGCTGCTGGAAAGTTGCTGCCTGAGATATGGGAGCTTCGCATGGGTGGATAGGGCAACGGGCGGGAGTTTTCTAGTCGTTGCTGGAGTTTTTGCGTTCCCTAATCACAGTAGCTGCCAATTTTTGCTTTCGCATGGCGTGGTATGAGCCTTTAATGCACGGCAAACACTGCTTCAGAGGCATGACGAACTGCTTGGAGAGATCCGCGATCGGCGGAGTCTTGGATGCAACAGGCAGTGCCCAAATAAGCCACGAGGATAACTTCAGAGGGCCTTCGAGTCCTTGAAGATGCTCTCCGACTGACAGCGAAGTTGAAAGAGTTTCGTCGTGTTTCTCAGGATGGGCTTGTCCCCACTTTCTTCGCCTTCATCGTGTTCAGCTCAGTCTTCTCGTGGCGCTTGTTCGTGACGGCTGTCCGAGCTCACGGTTTATTTCGGCCGCATCGGATGTACCTTTCGTCTCTATCATTCGGCAGCTGATGTGTGTTGGTGCCCGAGAGCGTTGGCAAGTTGTGCTTCGGTGAGGCCCCAATTCTTGACGCCCGCAGATGGCCTGGGCCGAGGACGAAATCACAGCTTCTGAGGTGTAGGGCCTTCGAAGCAGGTCAAAAGACAAACTAGCATGCAACAGCTCGTAGAGACGCAGAAGAGCTTGTACCAGCATGCGCCGTCTGCAAAGGCCCAAGGCCTAGTCCGAAGCGTCTTCAGAGCCCTTGCCTGCAAGTCTGTGGAGGCCAGTTCCAACCGCCACGCCGCTCCGAGAAAGGCAGGGATTTTGTCAGGTCTGAACCCCACAGCTCACCTTAAATCGATCAGAATGGGCCACCAATTCCAAGGCCTAGTGGCCAGAGGCTTAAAAGATCTCAAAAGCCAAGCCGAACGCCTGAGTCCCAGAAGCCGGCGGCCCTGAAGCACTGGGATTCCTTCCACCAGGCAGCCGACCCAAAGGCCACCAGACAAGCAGACAAGGCTCAACAACTGCATGAGCTTTGGATTCGTGTTGACATGCGACCTCGGTCTGCCCCAAGCTTACAAACCTTTAAAGACAGAGAGAGAGAGAGAGATATAGAAATAAAAACTTGAGAACATTCAACCACCCATTTGTTGTTATCGTATACTTTATGGCCTTAGCCTTCGGGTGGTTAATGTTCGCTCTTCACTGCCCGAACAACCCGATCAAAAAGATCGGGTGGGCACTTTGCCCGGGGACGGTGACACGTCCCCATGCCCGGGAGTGAGAGAGAGAGAGAGAGAGAGAGAGAGAAAAAACAAAGCAAAAAGAGAGAGAGAAAAAGAGAGAGAGAGAGAGAGAGAGCTGCGAAGGCCTCACCCCAACAGCGTGACGCAGGCCGAGCGCAGCAAAAAAG